AGGCCGCAACCACCAGACCATGCCTGAAACGCCCATCTAAGTTCACCATTACTGATCCAGGCAAGCCCCTTATGAACACACTTGCGAAGGTCAACACGCTTCTGACGGAATTGCCATGTGGTATCAGTAAAAAAGGTGCGCTTCTTTTTGGGGCCCCGCCTAGGAAAGGCTTGGGCGAGGCGATCAAAGATGTGCGTGGCAAAAAGGTCATAGTGAGTATGAACATCAACAGACCAAGGCACTGCTGGGAGATCTTGGCAAATTTGTTCAACAATAGTCGGGGCCTCAGCATCCTGAAGGCGTTGCACGTCAATTTGTGCCTGTCTCTTCCTAGGACCAAATGCAACCGAAAGATAGGCGCTGGAGTCAAGAGCAACAGCGAAATGATCGACACCTTGTTGTCCAAAATCAACATCAAGCAGAACCCAGGAAGATCCAGGTGCTACCCACCAGGAGATGGGTACAAGCACAAAATCGATGCGTGAAGTGGTACCATTCCCAGGCGAGGCCCATGTGAAAGAGGGGCCGGTGTGGCAGCAGGAATATGTGGACGGCGCCCACAATTGAAGGACATGGAGGAGTCGACTCAGAGCAGCTGGCACATCAGCGCCGTGCTCCCAACACAAATCACCAATGAAGGGCTCCTCGGGAGTAGTGAACCTTGTGTTGAGATCACCAAGGAGGATGGTCTGATCCCCCCCTGCAAGGCGGATAAGCGTGTCGGAGAAACCCTTCCACCAGGCACTTCTCGTGGCGTCTGCTGCGGTTGGTGCATGGCATACGGCGATGACAAGCCGTAAGTTACCATTCTGCCATCGAGCAATGAGATATCTGGGATTCCATGACAATACTCTAAAGTCCTCTTCTGCAAAGAGGACAGGCTTGTTCTGGCACCATGCGCAAGGGATGGTGCGCGAAACCCACAGTTCAACACCATAATTGCCAGCGGAATCACAGGCTGAAGTAAAACGAATATGGGTCTGTGACACAATTGTTTCAGACTGTTTGGCACGCGTCTCTTGTAAGCCTGCGAGAGTGGCACGTTACGCCTCAAGTTGCTCCCTCACATAGGGAACTCTGCCAGCAATAGACTTAGAGCGGTCCTCGGCGAGGGTCTGCACGTTGACAGTGACAGACCGTAGGGAAAGCTGAACTTGCTCGCAATTGCCAAGCTGAGAAGGCCTCTGTCCGAGGCTGAGAAGTCGCCGGGAAGGCTTCGGGCAAGTCTCGGCGTCCCTGTCCCTATCAGCAAGGTAGCCATCCCCAAGCGAGGGCCAGTAGGCAGGGTTGCGTGTTGCCTCGAAGTACAACCACAGCCAGGGTAGTTGTCCATTCTGGGACCACTGAGCAAGTTTGGCAAAGGCCTCTGGAATGTCACCATCACCAATCGTGTGGGCTTTAGCAATCACGTCAACTAGTTCGTTACAGGGCTGACCGCTGTGCGCTTTGACATGGCCGAAAGCTTGGCTTCGCAGACGCCCGGCTGAGATTGCAGCTTGCGCAACGGCTCTGCAGGAAGCGGCACTGGTGGAGGCTTCGCAACCTCCATATCGGCCACTGGTCTGGCCAAGAGCAGACAGGTTATCACCTTGGATTCGGGCAGGTGGGCGGCCATGGTCCTGAAGGGTCCATGCAACAGCCCAAAACAGTGCACTACGTTCTGCCTCAACTGCTGAGTGTTCTTTAGCTCCAATCCAAAGTCTATCCTTGGCAAGAGCTACCCGTCCTCTCATCCAGCCAATTAGGACCTCATGGTTGGCAGTCTTCCCGACTACTGCAAAGGCCCATGAACTAAGCCTTCCATCATATGAGCCATCTGTGTAGATGGACAGCTCATGTACTCCTTCAAACCAGCCAGTTTCGCTGCGGCGCAGCCAGTCGACAGTGGCAGGGTGGAGTGAAAGGCAACTACAGTCAAGAGTCAGCAACCACTTAGTGTGTAGCAGAGCTGCTACATCGTCGGCGGCTGCACCCGATTAGCAGGATTGGCAGGGGGGTGTACCCCAAAATGTTCAAACAGCGTCTCAAGTAGGGTCGAGGCCTCCCAGAAGGCCTGGCAGGAAGGATCAGCAGCACTGAGATCAAGAAGAGTGTGCAGATGATCCCCATCATCACTGTCTGAGACTATCTGTCCGTAATCTACAAGGTAAGAGTCACACTCTGGCGGCTCAGCACAAATATTGGGCTGTGCGGGAAACGGCCATGGACTTCTCACAGGTGTAGGGACAGGCCTGTTAGTTTGGGG